AAATATCTCTTTGTCATCTCTAATCGGAAAATTTATTTCTGGGATTATTTACGACTTCTCATGTTGCGGCAATCGAAGCAGAATAATGAAGGCCAATCTTTCAATCTCATTTCGCACGCCTATTTCTTTGAGATAAAACAAGGATTGACACGCGTTCGGATGCCTGGTTTCCTTCGAGCTGTCTCCTTAAAATCTAACATGAAACAGTACATGCGAGACTGCCTTGAATTGCATAAGCCTGCATCTGCGTCCCGATATCCGGCCAAATCGGAAATGCAATTTATAATGAAGTCATAGAATTTACAAATTAAGAAGCAGATAAAATGCGCGGCAAAAAAATAAATCGAATTAAATGAAAAATAGCTGTTTAGTATAATTATTAATAAAATGAAAACGTAAAAAATAAATAATATAATATACATATAAGGAAAATTTAATATAACAAATGTTTTAAATATTCCTTATTGTGATACACTTTACAGATCAAACGAATGCGACTGTACAACAGTCCGTATCTCGATTCGCTTGCAAGAAAATATCGATCATAGTCTTATTGCGAATATTGCGATCAAGGCAACTTTTTTGGTCGAGTCGATCTAGAGCGGTGCGCGACGAAGACGGGCTGAGATATAAAAAGAATTGCTCGTTCACATGTGAGGCCCATTGATGGCAATTGATTATTAGTATAAGACGTTCGTTGATGATCGATAATAATAAATAGTATAAATCCATTCATGTCATTTAGCTTCCTTGTTTTAAACGCCGGTATTCTGCACTTCTTTCAGTGTGACGTGTCTCATTAATATCTAATTTTTAATATTTAAATTGTTAATCTGATACATTTTAATATTTATAAGACGATATCGAAATGTTTTGTAATTGCTCGTCTATGTGAGGCCCATTGATGACAATTGATAATTACTAATATAAAACGGTCGCTGACGATCGATAATAATAAATAGTACGAATTTGTTCGTATCACACACACACATACATATTTAACTTCCTTATTTTTAACTATTCTGCAGTTCTTTCAGTGTGACGTGTCATTAATATTTAATGTTTAATATCTAAATTATTAATCTGATACATTTTAATATTTATAAGATGATATCGAAATGTTTTAATTGTTCATCTAATTACTCAGACATTACAATTATTACATTTTTTGTTACTTTTATATTTTTTTTAACTCTCTA